AAATCTATACTGATTAAATCAAATTTGAGTAGAAAAAATATACTCTTCAATCAATTTAGGTAGAGAATATTTATTTTTCAAGCGAATCAAATTGAACGAAACCCATTCCAACTCGATCCCTTACATCTCTTAACAGTTACCCATTCTCTATTAAAAAATTAAAAGAGCGGCAAATTCAAGGGTCTCCTTTCCCCCGGCCTTCCCTCTTTCTCTTTTCCGTTTTATTTTGGTTCCCACTATCACTCCAAGCGCCGCCTAAGTGTATTGAAATAAAGAAAAAAGAAAACACAATCCTTTTTGTTTGCTTCATAGTTAAGAAGGTCAGACTTATTTCTTGGGTTTCTTCTCTTGTTTCTAACATCTGATTCTGACTTTTGTTTTCTTAGTGATTTTCAATGTTTCCTGCATTTTTTTGTGGGTATGCGTTCTTTCGCTGGTTCAAAGCTTCCATTTTCAATACGGGTTTGTTTCATCTGTTTGTTACTTTTTTTCCGATTAAATTTTAAGAACATTTCTGGTTTATCTTGCTTTATTTTATTTGTTAATTCGAGGGTTACATGACTTTTCTCTCAGGGTTGCTATTGGGTCCTGAGAAATAGGGAATTTGAATTATAAGTTTGCATTTTATTCAAGTTCTTAAGGCCTATGATTAAGGGATTGTTGACATCCGAGGTCTGGTGTTTGAGCACAATGTCTGTAGGTTGTAATAGCATTTTTTGTTAAATAGAATATATTGTATTCTTCCGGACTAATTAAAAAAAGGTTTTTTAAGGCCTATGGGTTGTTTGTCTCTTTGTTTTGGTTTCTTATTTTTCCTTTGTTGGCAGTATATAACTGCATGCAAAGGCTCAAACTTCTTACTTTGCTGCTTCATTTATCTTTTTGCTCCCTGTGTGCTTTAACATTTTTAAGTTATCATCAACAAGTGATGGGTTATGCACATTGTACTTCCAAGTAGAGAATCTAAGTTTGAACCTTGAAGAAGACATTGTTGTGAGTAGCCATGTATTTCGAATATAAACCGTAAAATAGGCACGTAGAATAATAAAAACAACATTTTTAGGTTCTCTTTTCTCTGATCCTTAGAACTATTAAGTTGGCTTCTAGTTGAGTTGTTGATTGCAATGATTACGAGTCCTTTTTCAAAATAATTGATCCCTTGTTATTCTAAAGATTGTATTTTTCAATACTTTAGCCATTTTGTCTTAGTTGACATGTTTATATTCCTTTTGATATTGTGGTCCGGGTGATTTTATTTATTTATGGTCTTTGTCATCTTTATAATATGTTTCAGGATTCGAAATTTGGATTCCTGGCTTCCAGTAGCATTCGGATTTTACTTAAGCATGCTACTAGGAATTGTTTGGTACTGATAGGCTGGTCCTCGGGTCTCTATTTTATCCAGCTGTATTAAGTCTTGCAAATATATTGTGGTTGTTGCTACAATGGTAGGTGTTTTGTGAGTTTTTCGAACTATTGATTTAGGTTTTAGATGAATTTGGTGGACATATTGGACTACAATGGTTTGGTTGCGCTGTTGCAGGAAGGTTTTTGATGATAGTATCATAGTGGTCATTGGATAAGTAGTAGGTCGGAAAATTTGAACGTTTAATCTTTGGGTGCTATCAACAATGGAGTGCAACAGAGAAGAGGCTGTCAAAGCAAAGGGAATTGCTGAACAGAAGATGCAGGATGGTGATCTCGAGGGTGCTAAGTAAGAGGTTTGCATTAAAGGCTCAGAGATTGTTCCCTGAGCTCGCGAATATCTCACAGTTGTTGACGGTGTGTAATGTTCACTATTCTGCACAAAACAAACTCTCTGGGTTGGAAATGGACTGGTATGGGGTTCTTCAGATTGAACAATCGGAAGTGCAGAATCTTGGTCAAAACTGCACGAAAGCCAGCTTCTCGTGCATCGAAGAAAGCAGCTTCTCGTCCATTGGAGAAGGCCTTTGTCAATGGTCCGCATGAGTTCACTAATGGTGATCAAAATTGTTCTTCAAAGTTCACTGCTTCATATGCCTATCAGCAGGCACAACATCAAACATTCTGGACACTCTGCAGTGCTTGCGGCGTCAAATACCAGTACTATAAAGATTTTGTCAACAAATCGTTACTTTGTCCGACTTGCGGGTTTCAATTCATTGCCTTTGACTTAGGTCCTCAGGGACCATATAGTAGTGGTGTCCAGTTTCGGCATGGAGTTGCAGGATAGGCTCATATTCCGAAGGCATGGAACTATTGTGAGGATTTTACAGTGAAACGGAACGTAGATGGGTTTCCAAACACAAGAGACGAAAAGAAAGGTGGTGACATGCCAATGCCTACTGCATCGGAGCCGAAAGGGTCAGGAACTTCAGGAAATGGCAAGAAGAGGGGTGGGGGGAGGAAGACGGTAGAGGTATCCGATGAAAGTCATGAGACCGAAACCGCGGATGCTGTTGGTTCGGAAGATTGTGGTCTGAATTCAAAAGCAAACACCATTCATCCTCCTAGGAAATCTTCAAAGCAAAAGCCTATTACAGATTATTTTTCTTGGCAAAAACGTGCCTGACCGTTTTTTGCTAGAGTTTCGATGTTACGAACTCTCTTTTGAAAATCCGATCCTTAAACATGTTAATTTATCACCGGTCTCAAAAAATCTGAATGTGCTCTAGCTTAAGAATGATGTGAAGTAAAAGAGATTGAGAGACTAACCAACAATTAGTCGATCTAGTGAGATGATGCATTGGATCTCTTAAGCAAAGTTTAAAGTTCAAATCTTGATGTTTGTAAATGGAATAAATTGGTTGAAGGAATCTGTAAAATTTTATCCAAAATAATCGATCAATGAATTGAATATCAATGGTTAAACCCAAAAGAGAGTGAGAGACTAAAACATGCTGCAATAACCAACAGGGCTAGCCAGAAGAGATTAGCAGCGGCTCTTCCCATTTTGCTTTAATTAGTATGTGATTTTTTCCAAAACTTTTTTATTTAATATTTTATTTATTTGATACATTTCTAACTAACAAAAGTATAATATTATTACCTTTCTATTTATATAATACTATTTTCTAGTTATTTATAATATCGTATTTGCATACTTATTACTCGTTAGAAATTACCTTTAATAATTAAATTACTATTTTATTGTTTATGTTTATTCCTATAAATACCTGATTGATAAAAATTTACAACTTGCATCAGTAACCAAAACTAGCTACTGCCTACTGAGATCCCATTTGTTCGACTCTGTTTTTAGTTTTTTCATGTAGTCTCTCGTACCTCTCATTCCACACATAAAAGAGACCTAGGTTAGTCTGACAATAGTAGAAATGTAAATACTAAATCTTAAACTTTAAATCCTGAACCATGAACAATAATAAATTTCAAACCTCTAATCTGGTTTAGTTGAAAACTGAGCCGAAGATGTCTCCTTGAGTGATCGAAATTCGGACAAGTCGAATCAAAACTAAAGCAGACACTCAAAAATTCAAATATTCATCAAAATAATTAAAAGAGTCAAAATTATGATTTTATACATTTGAACGACTAAATTATAAATATTAAAAATTTCAAGGATTTACTTAAAATATTCCTTTTGATTGACTACACATATTATTAAGCCTACTATCTTTCAAAATTATGAATTAAAAAAAAAACTAATTCTGATATTAGTTGACAAAGTTATTGATTTATGACTAAATTATAAATATTCAATAATATGTTATTGATACCATTGATAATGGTATTGATACCCAATAATCAAAGCAATGTCACAACTTACCTATTTCAAACTAACATAAAACATATTAACATGGCATGTACCACATGATTGAATATAAGACAAATTTACAGTATCAACATAATCACAATATACTAAACACTCAAAACAACATAGGAATATGCATGCAACCATACTTTACAACATTTACACCATCACAACTACTAAGATACCCGAACATAACACAAATTTGACACATAAGGTATTAACATAACAAAATATGGAATTGTAACACAATTATTCACAGAGACCTCAACATACATGCAACCTTCCTAGGAGTTTTACGGACAAAATCCCTCACCCTTATCAAGACCAGAGTTTGAATTTACTCGTGCACAAATAATATAGATCTTATGACATGCCAATTGCACCTAAAACTCACTAGTAACTAAGGTTTGATATAACTCAATTATCTAAAAATACCATTTACAGTAGCAATTTGCATATTTCTTACAATATTTTCTCCGAATTTTTTTAAACATAGCTTACATATTGAAACACGACAATTTACCATGTTCTCATATCAATTATTAAGATAATCATTTATCACGCACTGAAAATACATATAAAGTATAACGTATTGAGTTACACAATATTTCCTACACACATAAAATCCAAATAACATAAACACATACATAAGAACTCAATTTTAACTATATTCGCCTAATCTGAGCTTATGGTAATACTTAAATTGAAGATTACTCTTTTAATTTCAATTTGGGAAAAAGAAAATCAATAGTAGAGTGATCGACGAAAAAGAAAGGGATAATCAATAGTAGGATCCGATGATAAAAAAATAAAATGATGGTTGATTCGACGACACATATGAGGTTTAAAAATGCGAGGATTAAGGATTTTAAGATTTTTTTAAAAGAATTATACGTTTTTAAATTTAAAAAAGTATATAGACATTTTTTTAATTAAACATATATATATATATATTAACGAGAGCCAATGAAAAAACCATTTTCAAGAAAAACTATAAAATCAAAATAATGTAAGATAGTGAACAAAATCTCTAGCCTGACAAATAAAGAAAGAAAGGAAAATGGATAATCTTCTTTTTTAGTACACTTTCATTGGCAAAAAAGAGCGCTAAAATTATTATTATTATTATTATTATTATTATTATTATTATTATTATTATTATTTGTAGCATATGAACTCTCACCATGTAAAGTAATTCCTACAAATGAATGAAGATTTTTCTCAGCAATACATATGATGACACTTCTTTTGTATCAGAAACCTGTCTCGATATGCAACTGGGCAGTGGCGCCTAGCTCGAGTCCTCGCCGAGACGTCTTCCATAACTGGGACTCCAGCCCTAACCTTCTAATCTCCATAAGCCCACGCTCAACTGCATCCAGTAAAAACAATCAACATACTTTTACCAGACATGACATTACTTCAAAATTTACGTTGTCATATATTTAGCATAACTGCTTAACTGGTCTATGTTACCCTGATCTAGGAGATGTCCGATATAGATGAGTCCGATATAGATATATCATGACAGTATTCAAACACGGTAGTAAAGTGATATGGTTTTGGTTGGTAAAGTCTTCAGGTTAAGAAAGGGAGAGGAACAGAGGGGAAGTACCATCGACTGCGTCCTGCGAAGTGCAGGATTCTGAACTGCAGGTGATCAACGACTGCAAACGTTCATCTGCAATATCAGGTTCCACACCATGGGTCATTGCCCTCCTCCAGAAGTATGTAAGCCAAGCCTGCACGAGAAAGATATAAGCAATAAGAAATAGCTCAATGAAGATTCTTGAAATGATGCTTTCTAGGGAAATATATCACATTCAATTATGCTTTAACATTGTCAATCGTTTCATATAAAGTCGTCCATTCTTAATGCATTTCCAACAAGTTAAAAAAATATGGCGGCAACAGATCTGAAGAGTACTGCCAGCCAGTTGCAGAACAAATAACTCGAACAAGCGGGACTAATGGCAGAATTTTGAGGCCTTGGTACTGTTTCCCCTTGTTATATGTACAGGATTCATCAACATCAAAGTTGTTTTACATTTTTAAAATACAAAAGGAAACCTGCCTGTAGCCTAGACCATATTATTAAGGAGATGATTAGCTGAAGATTTTTGCAACTAATCACTTTCAAATTACACAATGAACATAAGATCCAAGAGAAAACAAAGATTAGCTTGGAGCCATAATGACATAATCATCTTTCTTAGATTATATTTGACCCTTAAGACGCAAAGGTTTTTCTTAGCAGTGAAACATGGTACCTGCTTAAAATGCACGTCATCAGACTCTTCTTGGCTTAATTCTGAAGGGAAAAAAACATCAATGGGAGTAAACAGAATACAGCAATAGATGCACAACTCTTCCATTTACTAAACTGGATAGGGAGCTTAAACGAACAAAATGGTTGACTAACTTACCGAATATCTCGAATTGACCATCGGTAGGCAGTTTCACCTCCTCTACAACCATGTAAACGGAAGGTAAAAAAATGTCAGGAGACCAATAGATCTTCTGGATTTTAAAGCATGCCATTCATGTAAAGCTTTTGCATTGACAATGCAAGTTTCGATTTCTAAAAGATGTTATTACATGTCAACAGAACAGCTAAAGATTTTCCCACCATCAATAGATGTTATGTTCGAAAAGGAAAGGAAAAAAAATACCATTTTTTAGCATATTCGGCCGTCGTTGTTTAGCCAGTGCGAATGTAACCGCGTCCTCTACCTTCAGAAAAGATTAAAAGAAATGAATTAAATATACAAATAAACTGACCATATAATGTGTTATAAGAGGGGGGAAAGCCTGTAAAGGACGATAATATGAGATATTGCATCATAATTGTATGATAGTAAGAGGGAAGAAAGATGGTATGACAGCTGCAAACACAAGCAAATGAAAGAAAAAAAACCTTTAATAAAGCCAGTTCCCTTAGACCTTTCTCCACTAAAAGCATGCTCTCAACATTTCTCTCCCCGGATAGTTCATTAGTGTGTTTCAGGACCTTCTGTCTTTCTTCTAAATCATTGCCGGCTGTTCAGTATAGAGATAAGGAAAGAAAAAGGAGACATTTAGTTTTCTCTCTATTGAGAGAGAGTAAAAACTGAATGTGAGGCTATAAGAAGCTAAAAAGTAAAAGGAAAAGATCATTTAAAGCTTCATTTAGTGATCATGCATATCAAATGAAATCTCTTACATGACATATCCTCCTCTCTGGCTCTTCGTCCAGCAGCTAATACTATTTCAAAAGGAAGAGGGGCAAATGATGACCAATATTCATATTTCACTCCAGCAATATCGGCCTGAATACCTGCAAAAAGTGATGTCCTCAAGGAATCTAAGCAGCTCCATGCAAAATGTAAAGGAAACAGTTACAGATTTGCACATTTAAGAAACCATGTCAACTTCAATTACTCCCAGGATTACTCAACTGTTAAAATAAATTGCAGCACTTAACTTTTATAGTGATTACATATAAGCAGCTTTTTATCCAATACAGCAGCATCAACTCAAAAACAATCAGGAACTTCACGTATTGAAAGATAAACACTTTACCATGTTCCACACATAAACTCCAATAACGAGCAAGCCAGCATCTCTTTAAAACAACCTCTTCCTAAGATGAAAACTGCAGATTACGTAAAAATGGCATAAAGGAGTAAATTGACAGGATGATATCTAAAAGATTAAGAACAAAGCCAACCATCTCTTCTTCAGTCAGCATCATCCTTTGAGTTACTGTTTGCAGTGCTTTGATTTCAAACTCCGCTGCATTGAGCTTCTCTAAGACTGAATTTGTTTCATCTCTTGCTATCTAGGCCACAATTTAAGAGAAAGAATTATGTTAAGAATGGATACGTTCCCTTTGTAAAAATGGTAAAATTTGAAAGAGAAAAACCAATAACATACAACATAGCATCTCAAGATACCTTGGCTTCTGTGTGAAGAGCAGCAATCATCTGAGTTTGTGTTCCACCTTTTGAAGCAGCCTGCAAGAAGGACCATGTCACATGCTACTCAGCTGCAGTTCATAAACCATGTAAAAGTAAAGCAATAAAATCAGCTCATTAGTTTTTTTTTGAAAAGTGGTCATTTATAAGCAATAAAGCATGAATAGTTAGGTTTACAAAACCAATGAAACTTTTGAAGATGCTTAAGAATGAATAAAGCATGACTTCAGCAAATCTTTCCTTGGCATTTATTTTTGCATATCGGATTCTCGTTTTAAGATTTATACTCAAGATTTCATGCTGGGCACTCAGTAGAAGAACAAACCTCCTCCTGCTGGGCTGCTTCCTTCACCTGTTTCTCAAGAAGCTGAGTTCTTGCTTCTGCTTCTTCACACCTCTCCTCTGCAAGGTGAAGCTGGAAGGCAAATATCATGATGGAGAACCAAACAAATAGTGCATGACTATTATTAAATTTTCCGTAAGCCAAAGCGCTTGTTTGGCTAACCTAAAGACATCAGAGTTATTGGGGGAGCGGGGGAGAATGGTGCTGCAACAGCAATATCCAAATGGCAGTACTCAGATAGATTATGCCAGTTATTTGAAGACAACTGTTGCAACAACTTTAGAATATTGGCTCAGTGCTTGAAGATGATGGAGAGCCAAATTGATGTGCATGAGTACAGTATCAACTTTCAAATACAACTTATCATAAGATCTCATTACATTCAACAGCGGAAAACGTTGCATGATAAAGAAGAAAAAGAGTTACTGAATCACCTTTTGAAGTAGACTTTCATTTGCAACCTGTAGCATATCAAGCTGCCATGAAATTCACAACACATTGTTTAAAAAAAAGTAGTAGTTTTCCTAAAGATCTTCATACAGACTGAAATTTGAAGCGTTCAGAATTGAGAAAAATCATACAGATTTTTGAAAAAGAAAATGTGGTGAGGTAAACAACAGGTTTCAAATAATTTATTAGAAATGAAAAACTAAGCGAAACAGTTGATGGATGCTAGAAGGGAACACATATATAGCTTAACTAATGATTGTACCTCATTTTGTAGAGCAGAAGCGGACTGCTGTGTTCCACTAACTATCATGTTGTTCATACTCCCAAAATTTGAAACCAATCTGCTTAAGCAGTAAAGTTTAGAACACTCGAGATAAAATAAATTAAGAATCTAAATCAGTGCAATTTCCATTCTAGTTCAGCTTAGAGATATAAAAATACCGCTTCTCCGCAGGGTACGGCCTGACTCCTAACTGTTGGCGACCTGGACCTGTGGAACGAGGAGATACAGTTTGTTCTGATGAACTGGTTAATGCAGATGGCCGGCCAACACTTAAAGCTGCAGAACTTTGCAAAGACGACCGTCCAGCTGAAGGTGAGATGGATTGCTCCATGGAGTTTTGACCACTTGCATGAGCTGGTATTGATTGCTCCTTGATGCTGACAGGTAGAGAGGCATAACTGCCTGGTATAGGACGTGGTTGATCTTGATTGACACGAACTGACTAAAAGCAAATTTGAAGTTACAAGTAAGGATTACATCAATCATACATATAAGCATTACACAAACAAACAATTTAGACAACTGAGCAAACTTAGTTAATAGATATATTACCAAAGGACAAGATGAAGGCTTAGCTCTTCCACCAAGCCCAATGGTTGGTTTTCCACTCATTGAACTGTTAGAAAGGTCATCCTCATCATTGTCCTCATCAGTTGGTTGTGGTCCTACCTGTTTCACAGGCCTTTGAGCCATGGGTCTGCCCTGAGTTTTCAAAGGGAAGCCTATGTAAAAATTTATTTATCGGTACCATAAAACTCCAGCATTCAAAACTGTAAAATCGTTACCTTTCTCTCACATCATAAGTAGTTCTTCTCTTACATTAGCATAACAAACAAGAAATTAGCTAAGAGACTCATAACAGGAAATCACATAATTACCACAGAAGGGTGCGGCTGCATTCCTCTACCACGAGCAAGACCAATGCTTGCTCTACCACTAACCAAAAAGTCTTCCTCATCACTTTCCTTGTCAGTAGCTTGTGGCATCCGCTTCTGAGATATGTTTTTAGCCTGCAAAATTATACTCTGTAAATCAACTGAGAACATATTTGTTGGTAGCATCAGGATTTTACATGTGGTAAGCAAATCACAAAGGTTACTTGCAACTAGAAATCTACGAACTACCCTTTTCAGAAAATTCCTCGGCAACTTACTAATTAAACTATCTTCTCTAAACAAGTCACAATCACCAAATTTGGACTGATAAACAAATTAAAATGAAGTTAAATTTTGCACATAGGACCAATATGTTCACCAACAACGTCAACAAACTACTCTTTTTTTTATTCAGTAGCAAAACATTAGGGAGTATCCCCAATGTCCTTAAGGAACCTACAACCGATTTCTAGCGCTCCAGAACACATGAACAGGTCACTCAATTATTAGCCTAAGCTTAACAATATTACTTCTCTAATTGCATTCATTTTCTTTCTTCGAGGCTTATTTGACAAACACATCGAATAAGTAAATCAGGTAATCACAAAGTTACCATAGGAGAGAAAGGCCTTGCTGCCCTTCCACCAAGCCCTATTCTTGTTGTGCTACTCACTAAAAGGTCATCTTCTTCACTCTCATCATCGTCTGCTGGTGGTGGTACTTGAGTTCGAGCTAAGCTTTTTCTCTGGATATTACAAGGTAAGTCTAGGAAATAACATACTTATGTGCAATGTGAAACCAGCTACATGCTACCATGAACAAATTTCAGTCCAGTTACATGTTTGAAAAACATTATCATGCGTTATAAATTGATAAAACTGTTAATAGTGGTAATTTAGAAAGAAAGGAAAAGTGTTATTTTAACTTGTCAAATGGAATGTGTTGAACTACATCAAGAAGTTTGTGCATCCCACTTGACAAACACAAGCAGCCGGTCTTAACTAAAATCAATTTCATATCAGATGATTACCGCAGGAGAGGGTGACCTCTTTGCCCTTGCAGCGAGACCTATGCTTGTCGTGTTACTGACTGGGGCATCCTCATCATTGTCATCATCAGATGGTTGTTGTTTCCTTAATGGTGATGGTCGCCTTTGAGGAATATTTTTGGCCTAGATTTTAAAATACAATCCGAGGTGAGAACATGCATACTAGCAATGTCATAACTTGTCATAACTCTAGCATATGTGAGCAACAAAAGAGTTTCTGAATACAAGAAGAGTCATCATCAAAGTAATGGAAGTGTCATTTTAACAAACATATCATAGGTCTACCCCAACGAACGAAATTTGAATTAAAAGATTTCCATATGAATACCATAGGAGACCGCCCCTGCATTTGTCTTCCACCAGAAAGTCCTATACTTGGCCTGCCACTCACTATAGGATCATCCTCATCATTGTCGTCATCAGCTTGTGTTGACTGCGGAACTCGCCTTTTAGCCTGCATATTACAAGTTAAAAAATCCAGGTGGTAAGAAGTGAGAAATACTTATTTCCAAATGCCAAGTCCTGGCATAGCCTAGTAGTATTTTATCTCATACTTCTTGAACGCTTCATCATTCATACTGATATGGAACTTAGGGGCTGTTTGTTTGCCTCTTAATGGAATTGTTTAGAGCTTCGCTTCACACCTCTGAATGATTCAGTGCTGACTGATTCAGCACAGAAGTACATTCTGAATGATTCAGAGTCATTATCAAACAGCATGTCACATTTAGAGCTAATTCATACAGAGCCTCTGAATCATTCAGCATTTGAATAATTCTAAAGTAAACAATACATTACCATACTTAGTAATGTAAAAAAATGTCAACTTCACACACATACTTAAATCGGATATCCATGTAACAATACATTACCATAGGAGAGGGAGGACGCGTTGGCCTTCCAACACTACTATTGTCAAGCTGGTCATAATCATCACCATCATCGTCGTTCTGCTTATTTGACATAACGGCCGCCAGCCTCTGCGCTGCAGCTTTAGTTTGCGCTTTCCTCGGGTTCCCAGCACCTCCATAGCTTGATCCAGACCGTGTGTGGCCCTGCAACGCGGAGGCCGATGTCAATGGTGATGACGGCATCCCTGGAGCCGCCGAGGTGCTGTGTCTTCTCTCAGTTTGTAACCTCCTCTTATCCATAGTCACTAAAAAATTGAAAAAAGAAAACCAATCAATGTCAATAGCATAAAATAAATAGTACTGAACATAAATCTTACCAGGATGATCAAAAAAGACTCTGGATTCCAGTAAATGGTAAGAAAAACAAACATTTTTCTGACACCAAACGGAAAATAATGAGAAAGTGTGATTGGTATGGAACAGTTTACGGGAAACATTCAAAGTTAAAACTGGTAAACACAAAGGACCCGATGGTTATGGCAAGAAAAAGGGGAGGTTTTAACGGTCAAATTCCGGTTGTACTCATTTACATTTTGGAATGAAATATTTTCTTCCACAATGTCTAATTTTATTTTACTAAAAGTATATTTTACTGTATTTGATCTATTTTTTTTATAAGAAAAAGGCTTAAATATAAAATAAGTGTTCATACTATGCTGCTTTCACGAATAGGTGCATACAATAATCTTTGAATCATCCAGGTGTTTAAAGTTACAAATGTTATCACTTTAGGTACTCTAGCGGTAACTGTCGTTAGTTTTATTCATAAGGTGACATATGTCATATTTTTGGTATTTTTTATTTTTTTTAATTTAAACTATTATTATATTTATAAAAACCTAATTTTTCTTAAATTACAAAAAATAAACAAAAAATCATAAAAATCTTAAATCCTAACCCTAACTCATCATCATCACCCTTTCCAACCATGACCATCGCCTCTGACTTAGTCCCTGCTATCCTCCTAGTCATACACCGCTGTAGTTGTCGTCGATTGACCGTCAGAATCGTGTGAGATCATAATTTTCATCCTACGGTTAGTGGGGTACAAAACGTCGATTGATCGTCGATCGTTCCTGATTTCATAGGGTGTTGATCATCGGGGTAGGTGAGGTCGGATTGAGCTTCGTCGACGGTAAAGGACAGCGGCTGACATGAGTTTGGGGTTGAAATGAAAGTTTTCAAAATTTTAGGTCAAAAATTGTGTTTTTTTAAAATATATAATTTAATTTTTAAAAAATTACCATAATTTGACACGTATCACCTAACAGAAGAAATTAACGGTGTTTACGACCCGGACTTCTAAAGTGGTAACGTTTGTAACGTTAGACACCCTGATCATTAAAAAAAAAATACTGCATGCAACTATTTGTGAAAAACATTATATTTTAACCACTTATATTAAAGCCCAAGGGAAAATATCTCCCGCAAAACTAAATAATGGTTATTAGGTATCCTTACATCCATCACTCAATGAGTCAATGTATGTGTATCGTAATTCATGCTCCTTGTCACCATTATTGTTCGAATAGGTGTTCACTTTTCGATTTTAACCGATTAATTCAATTAAATAAAATTTTCAATATTTAGTTAACAATTAATTAAATAAATTTTTCAATATTCAATTAACAATTAATTCGATTCAAAACCAATTAATTAATTGAATTAACAAAAAATATTAAATGCAAAATCATTTTTTTTTCAAATTAATTTGTTCCATTAGATTAATGATTTTCAGAAAAAGTTCGGTTAAAGATTATAATGTTACCATACGTACCATTAAGATTTAGAACTAAAGTTTAGAATAATCAAATAGGACACGATAACATTAAAATTATGCTTATGAAAAAAAATCAATAAAAACCAATCATCAGTCCATGAAATAATTACCCTCATTCAAATTAAATCACATGAACAAATAATAATTGTTCAATAAAATTAGTTTATTACTAACTAGTGCCTTATTTCATATTTTGATCATATCCAAAGCTAGCTTCAACTTTGAGCTCCCAAAATCCAAAAGATAGGGTGACACCATCATTGTAACAGCAAGGCGAATAAGGATGGAATTTAGAAGGAAAACAAAAATCAATAAATAAAGCTTAAAAGAACAAAACTTACTTTCAAAGCCACAAAAAGATGAAATGGGACAAATACATAGTTCAGTAAAAATGATATGCAAACTGGAATTACAACCCATCTGACCCAGATAGCACGAAATCGTTTCAACTTCAATGAGGAAAGTGCTGCTTGAGAGCCTTATGATGCAACATCTCTGGAACACATTTGTTTACCTGCATGCAGCAATAAACTCCATTTTCATTCAAGTGACCATTCACGATTAAGAATCCAACAACACAACTTAGATGCAGAGAAACACGTAACTTAAGAAAACACAAATTTAGACCATCTATTACCACATTGTCTAATAAGAAAGCATTGCATACAAAAATAACAAAGTTCCTTCACCTTGGCAAGAAGATGGCAGTTGGATTTCCAGGTGCTGGGCATTTCCTTAGGGGGAGGAGCAGCTTTAGAGCATCAGCTCAGGGTCAGCGAACGACAGTACTTCTACCTCTTCCAGACCAAGTCGTCTTTTGATCAAGTCCAAGTTCTCATTCAGGACCTCAATCTCTCCAAAGGGAAGCTTCAAATCCAGGGCTTCGGCACCAATTTTAATAGCCTCATCCTTCTTAAATCTCAAGAATGGCATACATAGTTTCTGGGTTCTTTTGAAGTCTGCTGCCACACCAACAGTGCTCTCTTGTAATGCTTTCATTATCTCCCCATCGGATGCAAAAGTCTTGGTATTACTGTCAAATTTGCTTTGAAGAATCTGCAAACACTCTGCTTGCCATCCATCAAATTGCTCATTCACAAAGATTAGGCCCTTTAACTTGTCCTCAGATAGTGCTGTAACTGGAGCCCCTTTCTTATTAGGTTTCTTTGAGCCCAAAATCTGCTTATTGAGCAACTTTCTCATCAACACAATGGAATCCTGCAAATACTTATTGGCTTTCTTGAGTTTTAGATCTGGAGAGTCTGCAGTGGGCCAACCTGCTTTTACCACAAAGCCATCCTTCTTCAGAAGTTCTCTCCAACCAAACTCCGCATAGTGAGGGCAGAATGGAGTGATAAGCCTGGTCTCCACATCCATAAAACGCCATACAAGGTCACGGTTCATGCCCCCACTGCCACAAGAGAATCTATACTCGTCCCTTGCAGTTTGAAGATCATAAAAGCCAGTTTTGAGAGCCTCTCGAAACATGTAATCTTGATAATTCTTCTCAGTCATTAACAGCGATGTTTATCTCATTTTCAAACACCCGATCAGCATAGGTAGATGGGGGACCTGTCCTCAACGATGATTCTGCAGCCAGAATCTCTTCCATCCATGCGATCTCTTTTGTAAGACGTAAGATTGCAGTATTGGCCGTCTCAAATACAAAGTTCGCATCATCTACACCATCCCCTGCATCAGCCAAAGAGAACCTTGTAGCATCGGCAGAGAATTCTTCAATTGCCTGACGCAGTGTCCTGAAATTTCCAGTAGACTTGGACATCTTCTCTGAATTGAGCATAATGTGTCCATTGCACATGAATCCACGAGGCCAGTGATCCTTGGACATGATTGCTGTGTGGTTGTAGATACAAAATGTCAAATGGTTCTGGATAAGGTCTTTTCCAGACACTCTAAGATCAAATGGGTACCAGTATTCAAATTCCTGCTTCATCTTATTAAGAATAGAGGATGGGATATCTGATGATTTGGGATGAGGACCACCACAGAAGAGAAATTCCCAGACCTCGTCAGTCATCTGGGCGGGTTTAAGTAGATCAGCACTTTTTCCATACATGTCCCCATTTTGTAAGAGATGAGCAACTGTGTAATAAGCCATGTAAATGGTTGAGTCAGATAATGACTCAACAAGGAATTCTTCATCCCAAGGCCAAAGGATCGTGAGCAAGCCCATTGGTTCAGCCATCCTAAAGTATGCTCAAAACCATGCCTTGCCTCATCAGAGTATAGGTTCATGTTGGATAAGCACACATCAGACAATTTTTTCCATTCTGGTTCCCCATATGTGATATACCACTGATCAGTTAGAGCCACAACACATTCATCTCCAGACCTTGAGATGACCTTTTCAGGCTCACTATAAATTATTGCTTGGCCCGTCTCAATCAGTTTGGTCCTTATCAGTGGCTTCGCTTCCTGTACTTTTCTTCCAGCATACTCTCCAACAGTCATCATTCCCTCAGTAAAACCTCTCAAGTACACCAACTTCTTTGCCTCAGCAAGCTTGTCTTTCTCATTCTGACTTTTGATTTTAAGATCCAGACAAACTTTCTCAGCAGCTTTGTCTCCAAATTCAGGAATGTCAATGATGGGAACAATCTCAAATGGTAACACCCACTCATCTTTCACCCCAAACTTTGCCCGAAAAGCAGGTTTTGCTTTCAAATCATGTAAGGCCATATAATCATCAGGAGCGTCACTAGGAACACTGGTGACAATTCCGGTACCTTTGTCTGTTAGAATAGTAAGCATTGGAAGAGCATATATGATCTCATTAAATGAGAGAGGAGACCTCACAGCAAGACCAATCAGATCATATCCAGTCAGCTCAACCAAGCAAGTAGGCTTTTCAGGGACACGGGAAAGCTTCTGGTAAGCAAGGTTGAGTGCTGCTCTCTCAGTCAGAATAAATACCTCAGTGTCATTGATTTCAAAGGCTCCATATTTCCCGTCAGGCAACACCCAGCAGTTTGTTTGCCCATACATTGTCTCAGGCCTCAATGTTGCAGCAGCCAAGAACACGTTTTTCCCTTCCAAAACACCCATTTTGGCAGGAAAAGGTGGCACCACTTCCATTTTAATAATAGTACTCTTGAGGCTGAACTCCTTCACCAGTGCCTATCATGATCGGCACAAGGCTGACCGTCCAAGGGACGTTTTTCCCTTCCAAAACACCCATTTTGGCAGGAAAAGGTGGCACCACTTCCATTTTAATAATAGTACTCTTGAGGCTGAACTCCTTCACCAGTTGCCTTATCATGATCGGCACAAGGCTGACCGTCCAAGGGAGAATATATAGTATACCTCATATCTTTAAGCTGACCGTCCAAGGGAGAATATATAGTATACCTCATATCTTTAACAATCTTACCCATCAATTTCAACTTCCTCATCTGCCACTTAACAAAAGAATCGAAAAATGGATTCATATCCGTAGTCACAAAGGACCTTCTCCAATCACATCCTAGGCCAAATGCCTTAAGATCTTCAACAGCCAATGGCGGGAAGAATTTCAGCCACTCATATGGGTTCTGAAACTTCGATATCGCACTATTCGAAAGTCCAAAACTCCTCATAATTTCCCACTGAAACATCTGTCTACTGGACTTAGAAGCTGCTTTAGATTTTTTTCCTTTAAACTTATCAGGCATCACATTGGCACCTTCATTCGGTAGGAAAAGGAAAGTTCCCGAAGAATTTTTCACCTGGTTGAGGCGGCTTCTCGCCGGGTTCTGCCTTGAAAACATCTTTCTCATCCCACCAAACTCTAACCTTCGACTCGATTTCAAGCAGTTTGTCTCTCCTTGCAAAGCTCTTGCCTCCCTCTGCTGCCATCTCGTGAAACTGATGAAATCTATAAAACAAAACAACACAAAATTCCAATTGGTAAAAACGAAGCAAGCAATAATCTTCGAAAAAAAAGCACCTGAATTTAGTGAGGAATACGGCGTTGAGCCTACTAGCAGGCTCTCTAGATCGAATAATCTTTGCTGAATGGCAGCGGAAAACAGAGGAAATGAATGGAGAAGAGGGATGATAAAGTGAAAAGGAGTAGACTGCGTTGAATTTCAATTACAGGCTCGTTCCTCATTTGTTTGTATTTACAGGTTTTTAGGGTTTAAAATTAAAAGAGGGCCGGACCCAAAGTTTTATCAAATGGCCCAATTTCTGCAAAATCTTCTTCTTCAACCTGAGAAATCAAAACCCAATTTTGTTGTTTAATGAATCCATGAATTTTCCAAAAAGATGGATTTTTTTTCTGATTAGTAAGATCTGTTCAGAATATTTTTAATTAATTAACTTAAGATCTTAAAGGAGAATAACCCTCTTTTTTACCATTAAGATCGTTTAATGAGTTGTCTAAAAAGATAAATTGAGTTGTTGCAGAGGCGGATGGTAACGACAACAAGATCCCAAAAATTCAAAAAATATGTTCCAACTCCTTTACAATTTTTAAACTTTTAATTAGACTCTAGAATAATTAAATCCAAAAGTTTTTGAACATTTTATCTAAAAAAAATTGAAACTTTTAATTAAAACCCTAATTTCTTTTAGAAAAATCTCATTAAATCTCAAAAATTTTTTTATAGAAATTTCAGTTAAACCCCAATATGTTTTTGTCAAGATCCCCATTGTTGTTTGCCAAATGGATGGTCACAACTTAAATATCCATTGTTATCTGACTTGTCTGCATCATACACCAAACGAATGGTTTATATATATATATTTGTATTTACAGATTTATTCACCCAACTTTTGCATAAGATTATTCTATAGCTTTGTTATGTTAATTACACTATACTGTATTGGCACTATACTGTATTCTGTTGACATGCCGGCCATGAGATTCCATTCACCATTGACAATTGGCAAAGCCGGCATGGCATGCATTCTGTTGATATGGAAAAGCTAAATAACTGAAGTGAAGTATTAATATTTTAAAAAAATATATTCAATAAATCAGTAAATTAGGAAATCAAATCAAATCAATAAAGGGTTAACGAATCTGGGATGAGTTCATGCAATTAAGGGGCCTTAAATTTTCACTGAATACAACAAAATTGAAGCATTACAACTGGGTTTTCCTTGATAATGACTAGAGCTGTGCTTTCAAAAATGTCTTTACTGCTTCTTTTCCATAGTCAGTGACACAAAGACAATAGAAAAGTAAAAGTCTTTGGCATCAGACAAGTCAAATACAAAACTCCAAATGGCAAGAAAATGGAGTAGCAGTACTATAAAGAATGATTTGCACAGCAAATCATAAACAGATTTTTTTTTTATAAAAAAAAGCAATTGAAATGGAACTTGTATCTCAAAATTTGCCATCATAATCTGCCTAACATTGATTTTTCTACCCCCTACCTTGTCCCTGAAATCTGCAGTAAATGTTTGGCCTAAACCAAGGCTGGTTTCGTGGCCAAAACCACTAGCCAGATTCCTTTCTGCAAACTTCACCATTGATTCTCCTTACCATCAACACCTTGCACCGGCCATCACCCGCTACCTCGGCCTCATCCGGACTGAGCACTACCATCCCCTCATCACCCCTTCCGTCAACGTTTCCACCTCGGCCACTCCGTTGCAAACTCTGTCCATCGATATAACCGATCTCGTTGTGCCCCTCCAACACAGGGTCAATGAGACCTACTCCCTCTCCACTTCCGAAGTAGGTGAAACAGCCTATTTGACTGCCGAGACAGCATGGGGCGCAATGAGGGGGTTTGGAGACGTTTTCGCAGTTGATATGGGGCGATCCTTCAGCTATCCCCGTCGGCTTGTACATATGGGATGCTCCCTTGTTTTCACACAGGGGAGTCACGTTAGATACATCAAGGAATAATTATGAGGTGGAAGACATATTAAGGACTATTGAGGCAATGGGTGCTAACAAGCTTAATGTATTCCATTGGCTTGTTACCGATTCGCATTCGTTTCCTCTAATGGTGCCTTCGGAACCGGAGCTCGCCGCCAAGGGATCCTATGGTCCTGACATGATCTATTCTCCCTCGGATGTGGCTAAGATTGTTCAGTTTGGCTTGGAACATGGGGTCAGGATCCTACCAGAGATTGACTCGCCAGGTAAACTTCTTATTACAGTGCAAAACAAATGAAATTAGATGATAAATTTTGAAAACACTCGTTTTTTTCATTTGAATATTATTTATATAATTATTATTATTATAATTATTATTATTATTATTATTTTATTATTAATAAATATTATTACATATTACAAGCCCAAATACATTACGAGCCCAACCCAGATACATCAGGCCCAACATCGACCCAGACATGGTAGCCTAGTTAAACCCTAAAACCAGATTAGGGTTTCCATCTCAGTACCCTAGCCGCCTCAACATCACAGATCCAACGGCCCACACGCATCCAGAACAAACCCTAGGGTGATGATACCCTAGGGACCATGCGGCGCCGTTTCTACTTCCAGTCGCTCCGCCGCTGCCACGATGCCCCGTCAAAGTTTCTAGAAGAGCTCTTCCAGCCGCACACGTAGCTCAACAGTGAGTCACCACTAGAAGCTAGAAGAGCTCTTCCAGCCGCACACGTAGCTCAACAGTGAGTCACCACTAGAAGTCTGGTGACTCACCAAGCGGCCACCTTATTAACCGGTCCGAGAGCCACACCGTCGATGGCTATAAAAGCCATCGACCACCTGAAAACAGAAGGACACACGGCAGAGGAGAACACACAAATAGAAAAGAAAGCAACCCAGCAACCACGAATAGCAAGGAAAAGACGGAGAGATACTTACCGAGGAAGCCACGCCTTCACCGGAGTTCATACCAGTCTCGAAACGTCATCAAAAACCTTCGAAAACTGAAGGAATCGTCTTTAGGACGGTCCGATCTACGTTTTGAGAAGTTTTGGTGTTTTTCGACCACCGGTGACGGTGGCCAGCGGCGAGATCGGTGACGGTGACCGGCGGCGAGATCGACGACGGTGGCCGGCGACGAGATCAGCGATGGTGATCGACGCCAGATTCCCTCCGGTGAGGGAATCCTAGAGAGAGACTAGAGAGTTTTCTTTTCTCTCAGTTAGAGAGAGAAGAGAAAGAAGAGAAATGAGAATATTGGCCCTTCGGGCCAGCCGTCTGGGGAATTTATACCCCTTCCCAAACGATGCCGTTTTGGGGAGGGGTATATCCATAATTTCGCGTTTGGCCAAATCCCGTCTGCAGTCCATTAGCTTTGTAACATTCTATTTTAGTCACTGAAATCAAATTCTAAACGTTTTAATTTAGTCTTCTAATTTTATTTACTTTATAATTTAGTCACTTATATGTTTATATAAATATTTTAGGTAAATGATGGATTTAGTCCTTTAATTTTAATAATTAATATTTTAATCCAGAAAGTATGTTTTAATTTGTTTTAATTTAATATTCAAATTTAATATAATTATAATTTAGTCACTAAATTAAATAAATAAAAAATAGCATGTCTAATCCCTGTAGTTTCAAATAATTAATTACAAATTAGGTATTTAATTTTATTAGATTATAATTTAGTTCCTAAACTTAATACTTTCATTTATTTTACAAGATTTATTACTTTTTACATTTTAATATTATGTTTTAATTTCATTTATTTTAAACATTGTTTAATCATATATTACTTTTATATATTTATATATATCATTACTATTACTATTATTATTATTATTTATATATAAATAATATTATTTAGTATTATAAATATATATAGAAATAATATTTATTTTATGAAATTACTATTTATAAATTTAATATGTTAAATCATTTTAATCATATTTTAATATATATTGATATTAATAAAGGACAGTCTTAAAGAAACTGGATGTCCATTTTCTAATATTTTTAAATAAATACATATCCTATTTTTTATAAATTACATATTAATCTATTTTTTTTAAAAAAATTTTTATTAATATTTATTTATTTTTTTAATATCAAAGAAAAGAGCCGTCTTAAGGCACCTAGAAGTCCTTTTCTGATATTTCTTAATAAATAAATATCTTATTTATATATAAATTAATAGATTTTATTAAAGATGCTAATAAATTTGAAATAAACAGATTATAAATTAAATATATTTTTAAATTTTTAAAAAAAATTCTAATAATAGAGACAATTTATAATTAATAAAGTATCAATTTTGGGCATTGTGGGGTGCTAATCCTTCCCCAAACGTAATCGACTACGAATCCCTTTTTATTATTAAAAAGAACAAATTTTTGGTTATACGCATATCAGTTTATCTTTTAAATTATGTTTTCTTAAAAACTATTTTAAAAGATTGTTTTTAGGTATTTGACCTACCTAACCCAAAAAAAAGGTCAATGGCGACTCCCAAAACATTTCAAAATCAGTTTTTCCCCACCAAGTAAAAATTTCGTGCCTGGACGAAAACCGGTTACGACAGCTTGGCGACTCCACTGGGGACCGGTCAAACTTTAAAATCAATTACAAATTGTCTCTATTAATTAGAAATTAAAAATTCATATATTTAATTTATGTTTCTTTCTTTTTAAAATTTTTATATGATTATTATTTTTATAATATTTATATATATTATTTTATTAATGTTTTATATTATTTTTCATGTATTAAATTTTATTGTCTGTCAGAGGTTTGAACATTTCTCCTCACACACAACACATGCATTGCATAACATAAGCTTTTTAATCAAGCTTGTCCCTTTTAAGTGGGAGTGAAAGCGACGTCTTCGTGAGAATTTATTCTCCGTGTCAGACCTAGCAAATAGCTTTCGGGGTTCATATGCTCTATGTCTTCGTGGAAATTTATTCTCCGTGTTAGGCATAGAGAAGTGTATCCCCTCGAATTAAACTCGATCCACTTTAGTCTGTGATGGATTAGGATTGAGGGTTAGCAGCCCAAGGGGGCACTAACAAGGACAATTCGGGTACTCTTACTCTTAGAACTAAAACTCTACATATAGTAAACCTTAGAAACTCTTCCGATCTGAAGCCATGCCGAAATTTTATCCAAAATAGGTATACACAAAGGAGAAATGATTTATAACTTTTTCCTTTCAATTTATTTATTTATTTAT